GAATTGTTCTATGATTCTATGATTCTAAAGAAGAACATAAAAAATATGACAAATTACCTTTTGAAAGAAAACTTTAAATATGTTCCTGCTGCTTGGGTGGGTTAGGGGGGATAGGGGAATGTCTCTAAAGTGGTATTTTTGTAACTTTGACTTGAATCAGTTGAACTAATATTCAGTGGGTAGATTGTGAGAACTGCTTTCACAGGGAGTAATGCGAGTAAGTTCCTAATTGAGCAGAATAGTAGGTTCACAAGGTTGGGTACAAAATGCTGCAGGACTGAAAAAAGAAGAGTGAGCAAAGAGGAGTGGGCTTGGGGAGAGGGAGTGCATATTTAAATCTAAAAATTGACTATGTGAGTGGATGTAGGAAGTAGCTGTTGAGTGGGTGACTCTTCTGTTTTCCCCTCAAATGTGGAAAATTCTGCTGTGACAGTCCTGGGGAAATCATGTTGGCGTTCGCTGAAAAGGCCAATAAAAGCCGCATGCAATTTCTGATTGTGAGACTTGTAGAGAACAAGGAGGAATTCATTCTGCTGGTGCTGACACTGGTCAGACGTGCCACGAGCGGTTACTACTCTGATCTGGGATCTGCAAGATGGCAGATGCTGTACAGTTCATCGTTTAACGTGATGTTAGCAAGGAGAATGTTCAGTTTCTCAGTTGTAGTAGGTGACAGTTGTAACAGTCTAAACAGTGGAAATAAATTCTTGATGTAACATTTGTTTAGATGTTAAGCATTGGTGTTTTCTCTTTTCTGTAGATGAAAAGAAGTATGTTTATACTAATGCCAAAAAACAGATGCTAATCTCTCTCGCTCCTCCAATTTTAACTCTTCACTTGAAGAGGTTTCAACAGGTAAGCAGCAGGCTGATACTGCAGAAAATGTGTATAAGATTGATTTAATATGCCTATACGCACATAAGTCAGCTTAACTTAGAACTAATGTTAGCATATTTGCGTTCCCTGCAAGCCTTTTTTTTGTGGTTTATTTAAAAAGTTTTGGAGGCATTGGTGTGCAATGTTGGTTTCTGTGGTCTTTGAGGAGGTTGGGTCTTGTTTCCTGAAATGCTATTCCATTAGTTGTCTGGAAAACAGTGGTTTTTGCAAGCTTATTTGCAATATGTTCCTTCACTGTGTTTATTGCTTACTGTATTAAGCGGTATCTTAGCATTAATTTTTTCTTGCTGCTACAGCAGTTCATGGACTCTTACATTTCAGTACAGGTAGAATACGTTCCCTCAGTAAATGAACATGAGAAAAGATCAGCAGAATCTGAAAAGAAAGGATTCTTAGCCTTACTGAATTGGGGGAAAAATGATGAATAGAAAGCAATGTAACTTAAGTCTTACGTATAGACACTGAAGTAAAGTCACTTAGCTTTTTCCCAAGATGGAGGAAAATTTTTAATTTAGGGCTTTAGTTTTCCAAGTAAGAATGAAGAAAGTAGTGGGTATAGGAGAGATTATTGCATCTTCTAAATTTAAAGCTGTTCAGTATTTTGGTCAAAATACTTGAAAAATAAAGGAGGCGACTTTAAGTAGATGAAAAACAATTTCACAGAGAAAAATGGAAATGTGTAGCCTATTCCAAGAGACTGTAATATGATTTTGTTTTTCCAGTTTGATACTGGAAGGTTATTTGAATAAGGTGGGAGTAGAAGTTACATCACTTTTGGTGATATAAAATTAGATCCTCAGGCATTTTGCAGTATCTGAGAAGCAAGAGATGTCCTCATAGTTAGATAAGTACATTAGAGCTGATTCTTTTTCCACTTTTGCTACTATTAAGTTACCATAAGAGTGAGTTTTAGAGCGATCTTAATTTGTGCTTCAGTGCAACATTTTGGGGCAAGGAGGTGATGCTGGAAAACCTTAAGCATTGGAGGGGAAGAAAACCCTGACACTGCTTTTTCCAATTTTGTGTAATTTAAAACTAATTTCTTGTTGTTAAAACTTTACCCTGAAATGTTTAGTAACTAAGTATGGCTTTAATATGCTACATTTTAACATTATGGGGTTTTTGTCAACTTGTCTGTTTAAGGCTGGATTTAACCTACGGAAGGTTAACAGGCATATCAAGTTTCCAGAAGTGATAGACTTGGCTCCTTTCTGTACAGCTAAATGTAAAGTAAGTAGGAAATCATTCAGATTCTCCTTTCCCATGTTCTAATGTGCTTTTGCAGTTAAGCTGCTAGCCCAGTCTTTGTAAAATGCTTGTCAAGCTTCGGTTATTTTGTGTGATAATACAGGATAACAAGGCTCTGCAGAGGAACCTGGACAGGCTGGGTCGATGGGCCAAGGCAAATTGGATGAGGTTCAACAAGGCCAAAGGCCGGGTCCTGCCCTTGGGTCACAACAACCCCCAGCAGCGCTACAGGCTTGGGGAGGAGTGGCTGGAGAGCTGCTCAGCACAGAGAGACCTGGGGGTGTTGATAGACAGCCAGCTGAACATGAGCCAGCAGTGTGCCCAGGTGGCCAAGAAGGCCAACGGCATCCTGGCCTGGATCAGGAACAGTGTGGCCAGCAGGAGTAGGGAAGGGATTGTCCTCCTGCCCTTGGCACTGGTGGAGCCACACCTTGAATCCTGTGCTCATTTTTGGGCCTCTCACTGCAAGAAGGACACTGAGGTGCTGGAGCACATCCAAAGAAGGGCAACAAAGCTGGTGAAGGGTCTTGAGCATGAGTCTTAGAAGGAGAGGCTGAGGGAACTGGAGTTGTTTAGCCTGGAGAAAACGAGGCTGAAGGGGAGACCTTATTGCTCTCTACAACTGCCTGAAAGGAGGTTGTAGAGAGGTGAGGATTGGTCTCTTCAATGAAGTAACAAGTGATGGGACAAGGGGAAATGGCCTCAAGTTGCGCCAAGGAAAGTTTAGATTGGATATTAGGAAGAATTTCTTTACTGAAAGGGTTATCAGGCATTGGAACCAGTTGCCCAGGGCAGTGGTGGAGTCCCCATCCCTGGAGGTATTTAAGAGTTGTGTAGTCTTAGTGCTTAGAGATATGGTTTCACTGAGGACTTTTCAGTCTTGGGTTAATGACTGGACCAGATGGCCTTACAGGTCTTTTCTAATCCAGGCAATTCTGTGATTCTGTGCAGCTTGTACCTGCATCGGTGTACTTCCACTGATCATAGCTGTGGTGCTTGCATCAGCCTCTAATGGACAGTTTCCCTTCACCAGCAAACAAGTCAAAGCAAAGTGCAGAGTTTACATTCTAGCCTTGTTTAAAACCCAGTTACCTGACTGACATACCTAAACTTCTGCTTTTATAGAATGTGGCTGAAGGCAATACAAAAGTACTGTACTCTCTCTATGGAGTTGTTGAGCACAGTGGAACGATGAGGTCCGGTCACTACACTGCTTATGCTAAGATGAGAAGTATGAACAACCACCTCTCTGATCTGGTCCTTCGAGGACAATCTCCTCAAGGTAAAGAATTAGAAATATTTTATGAATTATTTCTTACTGCAGAACAGCAACAGGACTGATTGCTTCAGGTCTTTGCAGTAACTTTCACTCTCAAATTCTTCCTTTTGTAGCATCAGAAGCTGAACCCATAAAAGGGCAGTGGTTCCACATCAGTGATACCCATGTACAAGCTGTGTCTGCATCAAAAGTGCTGAGCTCACAAGCCTATCTCCTGTTCTACGAGCGACTGCTGTAACTCCTCTGAGAAATGCTCTTGTGTGTGCAGCCGTCTTCAAGTGGCCTGGAAGAAGGCAGACTTGCAAATCACGTTGTTATCAATCAGGTTGGAGCTACTGTATACAACTGCAGGAATATACTTTATGCTTCTTAAGACACTGACAAGTGATTAACTTATACTTTTTTCAGTGTTTTCACTACTTTTGAATAAAAGGGGTTTTTTCAAAATTACAGCTTTAAGCTTCTATTGAGTGATTTGTGTGTTGGCACAGACAAGTAACAGCTACTTTTTGTTTCCTGCAAGTGCTAATACATCTTAGTCAGCAGCTTTTACACTTTAAAGGGGCCAGCTGTAACTTTGATCTATAGTTATCTCAGCTGTCATTTGTTCCAGGTGTATTTTAGAGCTGGGTTCTAAGCTTTAAGAACCTGTTTTTTCCTAAATACCTTAGAGCTGAGACACATTCAGGCAGCTCTTTTTCTGCTGTTGGTTTATGTCCAGTAGGGGTGCTTTCTGTTTGCAAACTCTCTAGGAAGTCTTTTGCATGGGAACCTTAACACTGGTATTTTGGCAAAGCTGCGAGCGCAGATCTCTTACTACAGGCCCTTTCTGCACTGGAGGGGTAAGAAAACTAGTCCTGCTGTGACCTGTAACTACACTGTCCTCCACAGGCTAGGCTTCACATCACGTTTCACATCAATAAAATCTTGCCTCCTCCACACTGGAGCAGCAGCTGCTGACATTGAGTGCATTTTTCACAACGACCTTGCTAAGAAAAGGGGTGGTCTTACTGTTCTTGTTATGCTTACAGGCACCAGCAGGAGCACTCATGCAGCTGACTGGATCAGTATGCCAGTCCTCCTGAAAACTTGCTGAGTTTATTTTTCAGCCACACCAGCAACTGACTATAAAGTGAGTATTAGTGTAGCTGTTGTACAGTGGCCTTATTTAGGCATACGCTAGTTCCAGACTCGATTTAGCCTTCCACTCCCTTCTGGCTGTGAAACGGCGTAGCACTGGCAAGAGTAATAAAAGGATTAATTATTGAAGTAGCTCGAATTTCAAGTGCAGTTCTCCTTTGAAGCTACTCGGAAGCTGTTTACTTTCCAAGAAGAATCTTAAACGAGGGCTGTGGCTGAAAGGTTCCAGCACCTCAGCGTTTATTTTTAAGGCCGTTAGAATGAGATAGAGTTCACTGCTGTCAGCCTGCCACTTTGAGCAGGAAGACTTAATGGATGAGGAAATAGATTCGCATACCAAAAATTAATGTGCATGTGGGCCACAGACCTTCTGCCATACAGAATTATTTTGTATTAGTTTTTACCTCAGGAAAAGCCTGTACAAGGAAGGGCAGAACACTGCCCAGCTGTGAGGGGAATAGTGTCAAAAACAGCCCTGCCACCTGCAAAGACCACAGTGGAGGAGCTTGTCACCCTGCAGCTCCTTGGGAGGATGATGTTGGACCTCCACACTGCAGCTGTGGAGGCCCTGGGGCCAGAGCAGGTGGCTGGTGCCTTGGAGGAAGCTGCAGCCTGTGGAGGGCAGCCCAGCCTGGAGCAGGTTTCCCTGCCCCAAACAGGAGGACCACACAGGAGCTGCTGTTCCTGAGGGACTGTAACCCTACAATGAGGATCCCTGTGCTGAAGCAGCTCACAAAAGACCATACCAGGTGGGAAGGGAGAAGGCTGCACAGGAAGGAACAGCAGAGAGAAGCTAATACAGACTGACCACAGCCCCGCCTTTCCTCTCCCTCCTACCACTCAGGGTGCGGAGGTGGAAGAGTCAGGAATGAATGAACGTGAATGATCCTGGGAAGAAGAGGAAGGTGGTTTAGGTTTTGTTCTTGTTTTTCACGCTTCAACTCTATTTCTAATGGGTAATAAATCAATTTTCTACACCTTGAGCCTGTTTTGTCTGCAACAGTAATTGGTAAGGGATCCTCTTGTCTTTATCTCCTGAGCTTTTTCAGCTTTTTTTCCACCTTTGTCTTGGTGAGATAGGAGCACATGGCAGCCATCCAAGGTCAGCTCCCCACACACACCTGCACATTTGCATATTGGGAACCACCATGTCATGCCAAATCCAAACAGAATGACGACCAGCATTCTAACAGTGAGTACGTTTATTGAAGTGTTAGAAGTTCTGCACTTCATTAGACACAGTTCATAACTTAAAGGCAACAGAGCAAAACATCATGACAGGCTCCAACTGGAGTATCAAAAAAACCTCACAAAATCATATCATTGAAAAAGTACAGTTAAATTTTTCAGTCATTTTGGTCTTCATCCCAGTCTTTCTTTCCTGATGGAGGTTTTGGGCCACCAGCTGGTTTTGCCATAATGATCTTGAAGATATTAGGGAAGTAGAAAAAAAAAATAAGTTTAGAATCAGACTCTTATCCCACTCTTACTTATAGTCATATGATGCCACCTATCAACATTCACTAAATTCATGCAGTTCCCCTACTCTGAACATAAGCAAGTGACTATTATTACCCCTGAGTTATTTTCTTCAAAATGGCAGAAGCTGAGCCCTGATATATTTACTTCATTTTTGCATGCAAATGAAGACTTCAGTTAGTCTACAGAAAGTGAGTGCTTAAATATGCTAACATGTGATCAGTTTATAGAATGCACGCTACTGCAAAGCAGAATTACCAGAGCTGTTGTTCCAAATTACTGAGTCTAAGCATTGCACTTTAAAAAGGACAAAGCCCACCAGTCCTACTATGTTAAAGGCTCATTTTCTGCACTTAATACAGTGACAAGTAATGTAAAACTAAAACTGCACTTGTCATCCCTTTGATGAAAATTTAGTTTTAGGAGGGAAATTCACTTGCCAAAGCAAAAGTACAAAACACGGCAACGAGCACACGTTAAGACAGCAGCATTATGTGTCCTGAAGAAAGAGACCATCTACTGTGCGCTTGTCAATAGTCATGCATGGATACCTCTCTGCTAGAGAAACAGAGCTTTCTGCACACTATTTTTCAGGCTCATCTTTCCAGTCATCCTTATCCCAATGTCCTTGTTGCTTAGGGGCTTTTGGACCGCCTGCTGTTTTCGCCATAATAATCTACAGGGATTTTATATGCAAATACAGTTTTGCAGGATTTCCACAAAATATGCAAAGTGAAGATTTCTGTCATTAAAATCATAACCTCAGTTCTTCCTAAAAGTTGGATTTTTCATGTAATAAAAAAAATATAAATCTGTACGTATGAGAAAAGGTTTCATGTGTCAAATCTTGTTCCTACAGAAGTTAGGATTAACTTGTGGATACAAGTATCAACTATCAAATCTTAAAAAAAAAAAAAAAAAGAAACATTCATAGTCCTCCTATGGCAGCAGCAACATTGTAACATCCCAAATTACGAGGTCCTTAATCAAATGCCTCTGGCATTCTGAAACAGACAAACCACATTTTCAGATACCGTATTTTGATGCCTTGATTCACGTATTTCGCCTTGGTGGTCTGCACACCAAGTTCAAGGTTTCAATTTGGCACCCACATTAGCTGTAAGCTCACCTGATCTACCCTTAGGACAGTCACCGCTGCATTTGTAGCTAGCTTGATCCCCCAGGATTTTCCAAGGTATGTGTCCAACACACCAGCTTCCAACATATCCTTCACAGCGGCAGCTTCGGCCTATCAGACGGGGAAAAACATTCAGAACTCTGTCAGGCTTCCACCTAGCAAGTGACTGGGTTTTCAAGGTTACAGGTTTAGTGCAAACTTTTCTCTGATCTCATCTCCTCTCTTGATAAAACCATCATTCCTAATCCATTAGCAGGAAGATTAAGTCGTTACTAAAGACTTTCTCTCAATCACATTAGTTCACTATCTCACTTGACCTCTTACAGAAGGCCACTATACTACACTCAATTTAGCTGCCTGCTGACAAAAAACACTTCAGTACTGCAATTCTAAGGAGTTGTTCTTCTAGACTGTGGAACACAGAGCTTCAATGACTTAAATTAATCTATAAATACTTCATACTGACAGAAGCACATTTAAATATAACCCTGTATTGCAGAGCATCCAAGTAATGCAAGAGACTACTTACTTCAATATCAAATCCAACATTTTTATTCCCTTCCTGATGCACAGCATAAAGCTTAGAGATGACCTCATTAGCCTTTACTCCAGAGTTTTCTGCCAGTGCTCGAGGAATGGCTTCAAACGCCTCAGCAAACTTCTTGATGGCATATTGGTCAAGCCCAGGACAAGTCTAAAGTTGAAAGCCACATCAAGCATTTAAAAAAAACTGTAAGATAGGAAGGCATTTTCCCTCACATTTTTTATTGTTTTACATGCGTTAATACACGTGTGTATTTTTCTATAAAATAATATGTATATATTTTTATAATTCACATAAATATTTGTGTACATATGTGTGTGCGTGTACAAAAAAGAAAAAGTCAAAAAGCCCATTTGCTGTACCTCTCCATAAGATGTGATCTGTTTGGCTAATTCAATCTCTGTTGCACCACCTCCAGGAACAAGACGTTTATCCTGTGAACAGACCACCCCAAACCATGAAGTTTTACTTAAAACATCATATTAATTTTCACTCTTTAGAATTTATATGCTCTATTAAGAACACAACAGAACTTTATCCCACACAGACTAATCAAGTACCTCCTTCAAAACAAACGTGCATGTTAAGAGTAATTTACCAAAATTCACTCATTCATTCCAATGTCTTTTAAAAAAATAGTTCCTTTCATAAAAAGCAAAATAATGCAGTGCATTTTGCATCTGGGTTTCTTTTGGTGTTGTTGTTTGTTTGTTTGTTTTAAAAAATTTCAACTCATGCCTAACTAATAAGAGAATTCCTGGATTTTCTCATCTTTTCTATTAACTTTTTGGGCCATATCCTGGGAAACCCATTTACTGTACATTAAGTTTAATATATCAACAGGTATCACAAGGTGTCAGGAGTTTTGTTTCGAATTAGGCATCTGGCAAATGAGCATTTACTTAAGAACTCCCAGTCTTTTAAAGAGAGAAGTCATCATCATAAATTTTAAGTCAGGACAACTGGACAACACAAACAACACACAATGCATGATCTGTGGCTGTTTCTGTCTTCTTAATCAATGTGCATAAGTTGGTATGAACAGGACATTAAGCACCATTTTTTGCATGCCACCATCCTAATAAATACACAAACATTTAATTTATTTTTTAATGCAAAAGGAAAAGGGAAATAATATTCTAGGTCATAAAAGTTTCTCAGATGGAAAAAACTCCGAAGAACTGAGTTCTTCCCACCTATAAAGGGTATCTGCATTATGTGGAGGAAGCATATCTTGTCACCAGTGACCTATAAATTTAATTTGCAACCAGTAGTTCTTCCCGATCCCTTGCGACAAACATAGCTATCTAGCTTTTCGTCTGTGCCTGGTTTCCACAGAACGTGACAAAACGTTTAGGGAAATAGTCAACAAGGAGCTGACTGCCTTTAGAAAGCAGTAAAAATAATCTATCTTCAAAAACTCACTCATTACTGGGAAACTGAGTGCAGTACACTCTGAGCATCATCTTTTATGTACACTGAGTTCACAGGGATGTCAGCAGCAATCTTCTCCACCCCTCAATATTACATACCCTTCTCTACACCTCAAGAAGGCTCCTAAGCTGACAATGTAAATATCTGCTAGCAAATGAGCACGAGTCTTGCCTCAAACTGGTCCATCATTCAATTTTGTTAACTGAAGAGTTCTGGTTACTTACCCTTGTGAGTACTTTGAAAGTATTTACACCATCATCCACTGCTCTCTCTATGTCATCCATCAGATTGTCTGTAGATCCACGAATGAGGATAGTAGAAATGGCACCATCCTCCTTTTCTGTTCAGACAGATGTGTGCATTACTGAATCAAATTCGTTAGATGTAAAGCACACATAACACCACACTTCTACAACAGTAGCATTAGGATTCTACAAAACATACATACCATGCTTAAACACAACAACTTGTGTATCCCCAACCTCCGATAAATATACACTATTGCAGTGTCCCATTTCTTCTGGAGTAGGGGGAGTCTGGAAAGAAAACCAAAAGTTAAAGAGTTGAACCTGCTCATCAGTTCTCTTCCCTTCTGTTCCTCATCAGAAAAGTCCATACCAGTCTGGGCAGGGCTGTTGCACCAACAGTTTTACACAGTCTTCTCAGATCCCACTTTGAGTTCAACCTTTAAAAGCAAAAACAGTCTTTCTAATGATAAGCTTCCAGAACAAAGATCAATACATCCAAGTTAAGTATTCTCTTAACTTGGGAGCATTTCATAAACTGGTAACATCTATCAAAGTTCACTGCATCAAGTTATTAAACTCACTCTTTTATTATTTTTTTGAGTTACCTATTTTCATGGATTCTATGCAAAGACTATTTTCTAAGAGTTTAAAAACAGTGAAGTCATTCAAATAGATGGAAATAATCAAACTGCATCTTCTAGCACATAAGACCTTTAAAAAACCTCTGTAATAATCCTTTGTTATGCAAGAGACTACAGTATCATGTTATATTTCTAGAAGGACCATTTATTAGCATGAGAAGCGAGAGCTACTGCTAGTATTTTGACTTCACGTATTGCAGAATGCATTTCAGGGATGCATAAACATGCTTTACTTATAGAAGATTTAAGGCCCACAAAAATGACACAAGAGTCCACCCATCAATACACCAGTGACGTACGGAGGCGTATCTCGTCATTGCTAAAGCATCACATGAGGACTGTGACCAGGAGGAACCATTATCGTACAGCCTCACACGTCTTCGAGGCCACATCCCTCTTTACTAGATCCACATATTTTGGTATTCTTGATTTCAGTTGTGTTATACAGGAACTTAAACCAGCCAGTACCATACAGACAGGCTACATCCCAGTTAGCTGTCACATAGAGGTGAGATACTATCAAGAAACGTAAGCTATGAAACAACTGAATTGCAGCTCGGATTTTGATCCACCAGGAAAAGCTAACAGTCTGCAATGCTTTGATTTTAACTTGTTTGAGAGTCAAGAGACAACATGGCAAGTATATTTCATAAACCTTATAGATCAAATGGTTTTATGCTCTTCTGGTACTTACCTGACTAACATAAGGTTGTATTTGTTGGCATAATGAAGTGCCATGTCTGCCACTTTGCCGCCTGTTACTACTACATTGGCACCACTATCAGCAATAGCTTTGACTTGCAAATCCATTAGATTTTCTTCTCCCTTACTGAAATTCATCAGTTCCTCAGCGTTCTTTATAAGCACAGTGCCCTAGTAAAACACATACTGTTATTAATTCAGTATTAACTACATGCTTAAGTTTTTTGAGAAACCATTCTGTTTCCCAACCAATCCATAATTCTCAAGTCATCCTACTTTATAACACTGTCACTTTTCCCAGGCAGTGAGGTAAAACTAGTTAAGAAAATGGCAATTCCAGTACTTCTAGACAATCTTGAGGCTCAGACATGCTATCATGCAGTTTGGCTCAAATAACTCAACAAAACCAACAACTCTCCAACTCACAAAACCCTACCAAACAAAACTAAGTTTAAACATTTTCTATGAACTTTCTTGAACTAGTGAACTCAATATTAACAAAAATATCTCAATCACCAAGTGTCAAGAATATTTATAGTTACGTCTAAAAATAAGAGCACATCAGCATAAATAGACATCTAACTTAGTTTGAGCTTTTACATACCTTAGTTTCAGTTATCATACCATCAAAAGGGCAGGAATACACAGCTATTTTTGCATCTTTGACAGAAGTAACATCTCCTTCAGTTTCCTTTTTAAAAACCATGCCATGCAGCACTGAGGAAGCGGAGATACCAGCACCCTGAAAGGAAAGAAATGGAACAGGGCAAAGTCATATTACTGACCATTTCTTGTCAGAAAGCAGCACTAGCCTTTATGAAAAGCAGTCATTACATTCATTTGAACGTAGCTATCTAAACTGCCACTGCAGCATAAAGATTTCAGCTGATTTAACAACAACAAACACTGTGTAACAGGTTTCCATTTTAAGATTAGTTGGTGGTTCAGGTTAGGGCCTGTGACATTCATTTTCTGTGCTCAACTTGTTACGCACTTATTACCAGGGAAAAAACATAGTGGGAAATTCATACTAGATATAAACTTGTTCCAATTCTCTGTGTCACACTGAGGCCTCATGTCCCACTCTCAAAAAGGACGCCAGATTAAACTGCTGCATTTCTGCCACCCTGCACACCTTAGCCTCATCTTGTGACTGCTTCCACAACAAACATGAAATCAACATCCTTGTGTATAATTAAGTTAATGTATCTGATTCAGCATCATGTTTCATTATTCATGATTTTTGTTTCTGAAAACTGATACTGGGTGTTAAACAAGGAATGTCAAGATCAATTTCCAAACCTTATTATGCCTGTCACAACACAATAGAGATTAGAATAGAAAAAGGTATTTCCAAAATTCAAAGATTTAAAAACTAACGTTCATTAAACTATTGACTTTAATAACACAGTAAAGCTTGCTACATGCAACTTACCACAATTTTGCACACTCTGATATTATCGACATTGAAATGACCAGAATCGGGAAGAATAGAAACTGTTTGGCAAAATAAGCAAAAAAAAAAAAAAATTAATGAATCTGTATTGCTTAATGAATAAAGTAGAACAATGACACCGTAAGTAATGTCTGGAGTTCTCCCGAAGTACTAAACTTCAACAGATTGAGACGCCTGCCAAAACTTAAGGAAATTACAATCTGCGAAGAACCCACATTAAGAGGAACAGAAATTTTGTTTTTACAATGTAGTAACCAAAAAGCTACACCTATTCAGGCTGCTCAGTTAATTAAGTCCATATATCCATTTACACATCTACATTCAAGAGTGAAGTCTAACCCAGAATATTTTAAGAAAACACAACTACATGTGACTTTGTTTCTTCTGGGAGATCTAAAGGGAGAAAACAACACAACTACAGCCTTGCTGCCATTATTCTGTGGCTAGTAACAATTTACCTGAAGTGTGATACATCTTCCGATTGATAAAAGAGAGGAAAAAAGATGGATTTCTGCTTTAAAAAAATTAGATAACACAGACCTTTCCTGACCCACAGTGCCAATAGAGTTCAACGTGAGAAAGTTACGTTTATTTCAGAGACAAAAGCATATCTTGCATGAAGGCATCAGTAATGACCACAAGCAAACCTACTTGTTTTTTTCAGATGGACACATCTGTTCTCGTCCACTTACCACAGGCCTGAGCAATAAGCTTTGCCAAAAACTGTTCATTGCCATATTGTTTGCTCATCACTGAAGCATGCAACAAAGATGCCACTTCTTCAACATCTCGAAGGTTCTTTGCAGAACAGCACACCAAGTCTGGAAGAATTTCTAGGGCTTTCTTGCAAGCCTTTTCATATCCTTCAATCACCTGAGCAGCAAACAATAAATACCCATTACACCACCTCACTATGCATTCGTATTGCTTCTCTTTTCTTTTCAAAGGGCCATAACCCAAGTGCAAAACTTACAAGGGAAGCAAGTAATCACAAAGAGAAAAAGATATACTGCTGTTCTTCACACATCTCTACATAAAAAAAATTAGTTCAGAAGAAGCAGATGATTCACAATACAATGACACAAAAATACTGACCAACAGCAGTCTGAAAACAAGCTATCTGAATTGTCAGAACAGTGTAACTTGCCTCTGAGACTGACAACCCCATCCTCAGAAGGTCTTCTGCTAACTCCAGAAGAACTCCAGCAAAAACAAGCACAAAGTTTGTTCCATCTCCAACTTCTTGCTCTTGCATGTGGGAAGCCATGACAAGCATTTTTGCAGCAGGATGCTGGACCTTTAAAAGAAGTTATATATGTGAGTTACTAGTATCCCACTTAAGACGATGTTCCGGGTTTTTCTGTGCATCCAGTATACAATCTGAAATATGAGAGTTTATCTGAAGACACTAAGAATACACAAAATCAGAAAAGAAAGCAGCACAGAATATCTTGATTAGCTAGCTTCCCTAAATAAGCAAAATACAAATATATATTAAAGAAAATGAAACCAGAGAACTGAACATCCCCCCTACAACACAAATTAGACATACTTAATGTTGGTTTTGTGCTATTTTTACAGGATGCAGAGGTTACACAATCAAGCACTGCAACAGGAAAGCAGTCTGAAGTTTAGATCTTCAAGTTTAATTCCTACGTGTAACATGCAAAGTAGACTTCTAAACCCAATTACCATATTCTAAACAGACAGGAAAACATCGCAATCACAAACACTGGCAGTTCAACACCACAGCTATTTCAGTCAGTTTTCAAAAACTCCATATTGTCTAGACATAACCTTTCCTAAATCTACACTGGTTTTATTAGGTAATTAAGCATCTCCTGCAACTACTTCATACTCCTTTATAAAACAGTTCTTTGCCTCACTGTGGATATAGCCCATCGACTCAAATCCAGTGAAATATGTAAATGATTTACAAAATGACATACATAGATCACCTAAAAGGGTGACATGTATTTGCTTATTAACATTCCAAACTACACCAGCCCATGAACAGAAACACTAGTTCACAACTGACATCTTCTGAAGCAAGAAAACTTACCTCCAGCTCTCTCAAGATAGTAGCAGCATCATTTGTGACAAAAAGCTTCTCCAGATGATTGATAACCATTTTGTTCATTCCTAATGGAGGGGAAGGGGGGAATAAAAAAATCACTTGTTAGATGAATGCAGAACTGAGTAAACTACATAAACACAATTTTGTACACAGACACCATTTCATGAATTTCAGATATATCCTACATATTAAAATTTTAGTCCTGCTAGAACCTAAAAATATTTTTGTGAAATAATGCTTAGGAGTGTGTTAAATTAAGGAGAAATCAGTAATTTCTGAAAAAGCAATTTTCTCTTCAAAAATATTAGTACATCATTTAAGTAATCAATACTGGAGAATACCTTCAGTTTTGGTGTATCATATCAGACGTGGTAGAGTTATGTTCATTATGACTACATAGCAATTTATGGTCTTTAATTTTTTTTCAGGTCTTCCATATAGCAGTAAGACAGCAAAGAGAACACAGTAACTGGTAAAAAAACCTGGCAAAGGCAGGTACATTGTGCATAATTCAAGAGCTACCCAAAGTCTGATCTGTATAGCCACAAACACTATCTTCAGAGTTCCAGAGCAAGCCTGATGTGTTTTCTCAAGAAAGAAACAGTTGCTTGCTTGTCAAGTGAGGTTCAGCCTTCAAACATAACATTTTGCTCAAAACCACTACAATAACTTTAGGATTTATTTACCATTTGGTCCATAAGCTGTACGGGTGGTTTGAGCAAGTTCTTTGCATGCCTGGATATTCCTATAGACAGCTTCTTCTAGTCCTGAATAATGCTGAAAACAAAGATATTCTGTTCAGAATTAGGCTTTCTAACAAAAGAATAAAAGGGATGAATCAGTGATTTCTCATTAAAGCAGCAATAACCTACTCAGTCCATGAAAACTTCTGATTTAGATTCTTCACTTAAATGGAATCTAAACCTTACCCAGAGACAGTGAAAGAAGAACCAAAGTGTACTCATCAACTCGCAGCTCAGCAGGCACAAAAAGCTTCTGAATATAAAATTCGAAGAGCAACTCAATTTTCAATATATTTGCATATGTCAAGTCTTCCAAAAATGTTAGCGGCATACCAAAGTAAAGTAGAAAACGACCAATACCAGAGTGGAGAGGGGCAAGGGTTTTTTTTAAGTGTGTGGTTCTGTACATGTTTCTTTATTGACAACTCTGCATTCCACAAAAATCATTTAACTCAGTTCCACATTCAAACTTGGCTTGAAAATTCAGATGCATTCACAAAATAGTTGTGCTTGAGAAGGTGATCAGCCTGGCTTCAGTTTGAAAGATCCCCAGAAAGGGTCTTGAGAAAGAGTAGGGTGAAATGTATGTGTGGCCCATAAGAGACCTATTCTCTAGTAACTTTTACTCTAAACACAAACCAAACATCTCAGAATGCCAGCTGCCTCCTTGATTTAAAAAAAAAAAAAACAGAAAAAAAACCCCAAAAAACAGCTCTTGCTATTCAGGCCTTGAATTCCTTACCAGCATCTAAGCCACTTTGTTTCTCTGGCCCCACCCTACCCTTGACCTATGCCATTCTTTGTCTCCGAGGAAGATTCTGAAAAGAAAACCTTTTCTGAGATGCTTTTTGAGATGCTACCTTCACTCTCCTCTTGAGTAACAGCAACCAGATTTTTTTTTCTCTACAATAACAGAAAAAAACAAATCTGTTTGCCTTCCGTCCACTTTTTTCGAAGAAAACTTCTGGCTTTATCAGGCACAGTGCTTTACTACCAAAACCTACATTACGTTACTGTTCCACACAATGAAAACAGATTTACAGAACTTTAATACACGGACAACACTACGTTATGCCACAATACTGGCACAGGTGTTTTTCTCACTGTGACAGTAGCAGAGAAGAAAAAAAAAAGCCAAGGAACGTGCATAACAAGTGGGACGCGTGTGAACAGGTCAATCTATAGTGCCTGCGGAAGTTCTGCCGACCACCACCCAGAGCACCTCTCCGGACAAAACCGACCTCCTCGGAGCACCCGTTCCCGATGGAACTGAACCGGGAACCGATGT